GATTTTCAAGAAATGCCTTGGACACAATTACAAACGGCAAGCAGCTCTAATCACATTGATGACGTAGTTATGTGCTTCAAACAAAATATGGAAGATCCTATACTTTGGAGAGTTTTGCAACCATTTTCCAAAGAGTACAATCTTTTGGCTATAAGTATTCTCTTACACTTCTGGACTAGTTTGCATTTATTGAGAGAAAACACAAGTAACACTATAAACAGCACTGTAGAGAGCAATGGAGGCAACACAAACATCCAAATACGCGAGACTGCAGCAGGGAACGTCTATGAAGAAGGCAGATTGCAAGTACGACGTACCGGTACATTTGCAAGATGTACGAAAAGTGCATTTTGGTTAACATTAATGATATTAATGTCTGTAGTAATGGTAAGCATGATGATCACAAGTATACTAAAAAAACGTCTTGTATACTATAAAATCCACATATTTACACTTCTGGCCTACAAGTTGGTGATGCTGATTTCTTCTTGTCTTGGAAAAAAATACCTTGATAAAACAGGACCATTTGTGCATAAGACTCTCAATGGGATTGAAATATTGCTTCTGTTTTCTGTAAGCGGTTTATTTGTTTTAATTTCGTGTACCGTTATTTCTACGGTAGGGGCACTTTGTGGTATGCGATCGATTTGTCCAAACCAGGTCCCGGACATTACTACTTGCACCGAGTGTCAATATGCTGTTCTTGTTTTGACAGCTGTAAATAGTGCTGGAGTGTATATGCAGACGGTTCTTCTCCTCAGTATGCGAAGGCACACGAGGAACGCTGACGCGCGCACTACAGTTTCCTTGCGGTGCTGTTTAACTTTTTTACTGCTTGCTAATATCATTGACTGGTTGGTTCACGTGTTTGTATCTTCAGATAACGAGGCTTATGGATACCCAAGCACTATTTGGTTTTTCGGAATGTCTACACTTGTTATTAACATCATTTTTTTTCCACTTGCTGCCTTTTATCGCTTCAATTCAGCGGTCATGTACTATCAAGCTCTTGTTAATCTGAGTAATTAGGTAATAAAATCGAGTTATATCGATTTTATTTTGACCCTACCATAATCATTGAGTTCAAACACGTCTTGATACAACTTGTGTATAATTATTATATAATTATCAGCATATTAAATATATTATGGAAATCTTAAAATTATTCGACCTTAGCAGTAGCTAGAGAAAAAAATATTTTATTATTATTATTATATTATACTGTATTTCTGGTCTGCTATAGGTGCCATAATAAAAAAAAATCTCTTAGCTGAGGTGGTATAGACCATCGGTGAAAGTTCCTCCCTGGACCAAATTCGTCGATCCGCCACTGATTATGTAGCTTAAAAAAATCACTCTACAATGTGTGAGCCCTCAAGTTGTACGACGGAAGAGACTAGTGGTCTTCTACCCTAATGATCTTACGGGCCTCAGTGGTCTAAACAGCATGACGCTCCCCGAGAGAGCGATAGATTTCGGTTCGATTCCCACCAGATTTATCTTTCTTCACACAACTACAATAAGAAACTTTCGTTGATGAACTATGTTTGATACGATTTATAAACATCATGTTCCTTTATTTTGAGCACTGCATTATTATCTATTTGATTTATACATTATTTGTGTTCCAAGTGCTAAGCAGCAACTTTATTTGAATATTATTTCCTATTATTTACCAGCTGCTAAATATTATAAGCTACGTACTGTAGCTTAAAAATTGACTCCACTAGCCCCCAAATTGAATGAGGGGAGTGAGACTAGTGGTCATAAATCCGTAATGTTATCGTACAGGCTTTTGTGGTCTAAATGGCATGACGCTCGCCGAGATAGCGAGAAATTGCGGGTTCCATTCCCACCAGAGACCTCTTTTTTATACAAATAATAAGGAACTTTCGTTGATGAACAAATTCTATGTTTGATAAGATTTATAACGTAATGTTCCTGTATATAATTGTTTGAGCACTGTATTCTTATCTATTGATTTATACATTATTCATATTCCCAGTGCTAAGCAGCACTATATATAATATATATATATATATACACACATCATGTGTGTGCATGTTTCCAGCTTATTTTAGTAATCTAGTAAGTGTACTTATTTTAGTAATCTAGTAAGGAATAATAATTGCAATATAGTACTGTATTGTATATTTTGTATATTTCTCGATTGTTTTGATTGTATTTTTACATTGCTGTTGTGTTTGAAATAAAAATAATAATGAATGAATGAGGGTGTAATGGAGTGTATTTGGCGTTATTTGAATATGTTCAACAATGTAGCCTCTTTGGTTTAATGGTTATTACGCTGGCCTTGACAGCGAAAGGTTGCAGGTTCGAATCACGTCCTATTTATTAATAGGACACCATTTTGAGAGCTATGCTACACGATGAATTATTATGTCCTTTATTCGAACACTGTTATATTAGTGTATATGCTATTATTTGTTTCCAGCCGTACTTATCTGTTTAACAATGAAACCTCTATGGTCTAATTGTTATGACGCTCGCGCAATAGCATTCTTCACTTCACATGGGTAATACAAAGTTGGTGTATCACCAGACAGAGGTAAACTCGAACCTGTGACCTCTCGCTGTCAAGGCGAAAGTTATAATCATCGGACCACAGAGGCTTCATGGTTGAGGTCGCAGGTTCGAATCACGTCAGAGGCATTTTATTACACAATCTATCTATAGGACAATAATTTCTCCCGACATCATTACTGATGATATATTTATATTTCACAAAATTGCTTCCTGCACTAACAGATAATCACATTCGTCACCTCATCTAAACAATATCAGTTGAGCACAAACAATATGCCTCAAACCACATTCATCATCACAAGCAGCAGTTCTTTAACACTGATCAGCTACATTAATACTTGAATAATTCCTCTTTAAAGTTGTTCATCAACATTCATTAACACAAGCAAATCCGATTAATTCTCCTTCCTCAAAATTGTGTCAGCAGTATTTCTATCGCCATAACATTAAGACTAAACATTTTCCACACCAATGCATTCTCCAATTTCTTGTCGGGAGGTAATCCGAATGCCATTAAATGCAGAATCTAGATAAGCCAAACACACTGACAAATATTTATCCACGGTGTAAATATCTTGTGTTCATTTAAAACGGTTATTTATTTGTACTTACAAACAGTGAATAATGAAATCCGATGGTTTCAAAATTGGAATACAAAACTGAAACATAATATCACATGTTTGATATAATAATATATAGTATGGTAGACCTATCATGTTACTACATCAAGATTAAAAAGAAATATTCAATTTTGATTTTGAAAAAAAAAATTCTAGAAATAAATGTAATGGTGGACCAGGCTTTTTCTTACCATGGATGTGAGGCACCTGATGCGTACAGGCGCGAATCCAATGGGGGAACAGGGTATGTTTCCCCCTCCCCCCACTAAATTTTAACAATTTCAATGCATATCAATGTAAGTGCTACCCACTTTTCTAAAAATATTGTGCTCCCCCTTTGAAAAATTCTGGATCCACCCCTGGCATATACCAAAACCTGTCTAACCGGTGTATATGGCAAATTCTACACTTTGAAATACAGGTCTGCCTCCACTTTTGGGACGAGGGTTTTCATGGTCTTTAGCTGATTTCGTCTATAATTAGAACAATTTTTATGAGGATAGAAGACAGATGTTCATTTGGGGCTGCAGAAGGGAAGTCATTAATTGGAGGTGGCCCTAAATTGGAGGTGGTCCTTAATTAGAGGGGTCTTTAAATAGAGGGTGGCCTTGAAAATGTGAAGCAACCACCTCTACAAAAAAATATGTCAGACAACAGTCAATGGTAATAATGTACTTATATATTATTTCCATGCACCCTGCAAAAACCATACGGCAGTGTACAATTATTAAACTGTACATTTAATATATTGAATGAACATGTCCAGATTGGATTGGTAAACACCAAGGATAGCCCACGAAAGTCTAGAAGAAGACTTTTTTTCAGTCGGGTCCTTCTGGTGGTGATTGGACAGTACACCGGGAGACATTAACCTACTCTTTTCCGAAGAGTGTACTGCGTTCTTTAACGTGCACATGGGCCATAAATGCACACGGGACCAACGGTTCAAATGTCTCATCCGAAAGACGGTGCGCTATTGTAACTTGTATTTCAGCCCTCTAGCTGAAACACAAGGAGAGGCAGCGATGAGAATTGAACCGGGGACCTAGAGATCTCCACGGTTCAGCGCACACACAGCGGCTCCCACCAGATTAGCCGACAGAGCTAAGCTGCTCTCTCGCAATTACATATAAAAATGGAAAATATTTTTACCAATTTTAAGCTCCATCCACACTATCAAATTTTAAGTGACAAATTTATGCGATTTATTTATTTATTCAACAATATTTTGAGAGGGTGGCTCTGACAGCAATGCTGACATGAAGAGGCCCTCTTTCACAGCAATTCCAAATACAGATATAAAATTCAACTGCAGAGAATAAAAATATATATTAGCATGATGTCATATTACACCCAAATATGGGCATATGACATTTTTTTGTCACAAATTTTGATAGTGCGGACAAAGCCTTAAAATTATCGGAAACAACCAAACAGTTGGTAGCTTATGTAAACTGTAACCCATATTTTTTCTTAAAAGCTTTTGATACATAATATACATGTACAGGGTCAGGAATTAACCAATTATGATACACTTATTAAATTCTTTAACATGTGTTTGTGGGTGTGTTCTTATTCTGTGGATTATGTATTATTATGCTTATAAAGCAGAAAGTGGGCCCTTGAGCCCCCAAAGATGCACTGCCTGAAAATCCCTTAAGTACAAACATTTACTCCCCCTTCTTTCAAGTACACTCACAGGAACACTTTGCTGTTGTACCCCAACCCTAATATATTCACTGTTACATAAATAATGCTCAGTTAAAAATACTATTACCATTGCTATTGATTTACCTATAAAATATTTCATAAACTAAAGACATCAAGACAACATACTGTGGATTCAAACAGAATATTTATCTAAAACCTACAATCAGGAATTTCAAATGATAATTGCAAAATTGCCTACTGTACATAGCTTTTAACAACCGTCTAACACAGGAAGAGATTTCCAGAATGAAAATCATCAGCTGTCAGGCAAAAAAAGTCAACTTGAAAAATAAATTGTTTCCAAATCTGCCTTTGGTAATTTTTGAAAATTTGTGTCCCAGATACATTGTTTTGTCGTCAGTCGAATATTTATTCTGATTTAATCAGCAACCCACACTTTGTTAGGCATCCCTTCTCTAATGAAACTAGCCTACAGAAATAATTATTATGCATTTAACTTTAGAGAAGTTGTCAACATATATACAGCACCATGTTGATGTATATTATAATTCCAGTTCCAGAGCAGTTGTCAAAGGCTGTTTATACAAAGAATCCTTATTCTCAAAAATTTAGCATGTCTATTTTTTCTTATATACAATTTTAAAATAAAAACTTCAAAATTACATTAAAGACGTATTATCTGTCATGAAAAATTGATGATAATACGAATACGACGGAACTTAACAACCGTCTTACACAGGAAGAGATTTCCAGAATGAAAATCATCAGCTGTCAGGCAAAAAAAGTCAAATTGAAAAATAAATTGTTTCCAAATCTGCCTTTGGTAATTTTTGACAATTTGTGTCCCAGATACATTGTTTTGTCGTCAGTTGAATATTTATTCTGATTTAATCAGCAACCCACACTTTGTTAGGCATCCCTTCTCTAATGAAACTGGCCTACAGAAATAATTATTATGCATTTAACTTTAGAGAAGTTGTCAACATATATACAGCACCATGTTGATGTAGTATATTATAATTCCAGTTCCAGAGCAGTTGTCAAAGGCTGTTTATACAAAGCATCCTTATTCTCAAAAATTTAGCATGTCTATTTTTTTCTTAATATAAAATTTTAAAATAGAAACTTTAAAATTACATTAAAGACGTATTATCTGTCATGAAAAATTGATGATAATACGATTACATATTTAAATTACTTAGTATGTATATTAAAGTAAGTTATTAATTTACAATTAAAAATATGAATGAGAAAAAAAATTTCTCCAAAAATTAACAATAGGTAAAATAATATGGGGCTTGCCTTGTCAAAAACAGCATTAGTGACCAAAACATGAAAATTGACTTTTTAATATATTGTATTAATTCTCTCCACATTATAAGCTTTAAAATGATAGACCATTTCAACTTGAATTAACTTACTAAATTGCCAAAGTTATGAGTAAAAGTATTCTGGCTTTTCTGTACCAAAGTATACAATACTGCAATATTCTTATGCTAATTACTCAGTTTAACATTTATTGTGGGTATGCTGATTTTGGGATGCCAAGCCTCACACGTTCCCATAAAAATTTCACATAGACCCCCAATTTGGCTGGTAATCAATTTATACAGTAGATTTCTGTACTAGGGTATCTGTATATCAGCAAAAGCTAATTTTTTTTATCGCTTCCTGTTAATAACTTATCTGATTTCTTTCAACTGAGCTATTTTTGTTTGAATTTTCAGGTGTTTGGCATCAAGTAGGTGTACACCTTTAATTAATTACTATTTATTCAACATAAATTAATATTTGCTGCCATATTAAACAAGCAGATTTATTTTTTCTTATGTACAGATACCAATATCGGTATAATTTAATAATTTACAAGAGATTCATATCCAACAATTTTATAATTTTTAATTATCTTAAATATAAAAGTATATATACATTTTTCACATGTGTTGGTTTCTACACTACTTGGCATACACTGATGCTGTTACTGTTTGAATATATCATTTTAATTTTGATTAATAGCTGGCCAAACTGCACTGAAAGTGGGTCAAGAAAGAAGGCTGGGGAGGGCTGTAGTAGTTTGGAAATGTAATATGTATTTCACATGTATACAATAGGCTTCCAGAAATTTTCCATTAAGGGTCCAACATATCCAAAAGAGGAGTCTGATCCATGGGTCACTATATAGCTATTGGTCTGGGTCAGTGGTAAAATCCTTAGTGGGGGTAAAGAGCTGAATCCAATCCCCTTGCTGAGATTCTAGTTATTAGGAAAGTAAAAACTGTGTTTCAAACCACAATATTAAGGAACTCTAATCACAGTACTTTTGGTTAGATCATCAAAATTTGATTATATAATATATATTAAAATTTAATTATATTTTTTAGTTTGACCTCAAGTGGAGCTTCTTGAAAAAACATTACCCCTAACCCCACTACTGGTAGGCCTATGCTTTTTCTTAACAATTTGGAATATCCTTACCCAAAATAGGAGGTACATTTTGCCAATCATAGAATGTAGCTTCAACCACAATTTTGAAAGTTGAGAGGCAAATATCAAGAGGACAAATATAGAAAAGTACTGTACTGCATAGTTTGGTTTATCATCTCATTTGGATTCAGAAATGCAGTTCTTTGTGGTCTCTCCAAAACAATGTTTCTTCTGGAGTGTCAATCAAACTTTAACAACTGACCAATAACAAGAGGGCGAGGAATATGCGTATGTCCTACAAACACACGTGGTGTCCCATGTGCTTGCATATGTTTTTACACTGTCGTTTTGTGGAACTTTAGCAACAATATGCAAGGCCCAGGGCTTAGCAAGAAAGGGTCACTCTCTGTAATTTGCAGAATGTTGCAGCAAGTTCTGCACAAAAGTAGGATTACATCATCCATGTGCTGAAAGACATTTCATTGCTTAATATAGTTACATCAATGATTCAGGTGTTTCTTTATATACCAAGTAGTTAAATCCAGGCATGTGCTACTGCATCATATTTTGCTTGTTTCAAACATATACCTTCAATCTAGTCGAACAAATTGTGTCTCTTCGAATCCATGCATGTTGGAAGGTAGACGATGCTCTCCATCATCCTAGTTTAATCAAATATTGTCTTTGTGTATGTTCATATGCTATGCCTGTTCAGACTATCAAATTCATGTGACATGCCTAAATATGGTCATGATGACATCACATCATGACCATATATAGGCACATCATGACTATATATGGGCATACATCATTTTGGCAAAGAAAATTTGATAGTTTGGACAGAGTTTTATAGCGCAAGAAAGTATACTGATATCAGATCATCTGGCCAGCAGTCACCATGTGGGAAAAGCATACCTCCTTTGCAACAGTACAGAAAATATTTTCCCCATGCACACACATCAGGGTGTCATAGGTCATTAGAACTTCAAGGTGGAACAGAAGACATTCTTCATCAATGTTACAGTATGCCTGACCAAAGAGACTTTCTCGAAAGTTCCATGATAAATTTGCGAACGTTAATAAATCATTAGAAGAGTTGTTTGGATTTCGTGAGCAAATTACAGCCTTATCAGCAATGCTACATATTCTGTATCATGCAGAGTTGGTACAAATACTTGCACAATAAAATCTAATGGAGAACAGAAATACTATCATTTCATTCATCTGAGATCAACTGATTCAAATACCATTAAGTGTAATATTTGGTTTATAATAATCTTTGAAACTCAAGCCATTATCCAGAATGACTCATTTTATTTGACTGCATCGTTGTATCAGTGTTTAGTTTATCAGCACCAAAATATTCACTTAGTCCTTTTCATATTGTTGTCTCAAAGTCGAAGTCACAGCCTTGTCGTCTGCCCCCTGACCTCCCATAATGCAACTCAGTCCTTTCATGAGTACGACTTGCTTGCCTATCAATGTAACTGGCCACTGTCTCGTCATAAGATGGCGGCTGCATTTCTGCTGAACACGCATTTACAGGAAACGGACAAGTTTCTCTGTTTATATCAATTATTTCTGAATAAGGTGGAGGGGGATCAGTGTGGAATGTATGTTTCCATGCGTTATCTCCGAACCGTATTGCATCGCCATTTGCATTATATGACACGATAATTTCATCGTTCAGGTAAGGATTGTCCAACCTTGATGGGCAGCCTCTGACGCTGAGGCGATCTAGAGCATCACGTAAACGGCGTCTATACATCAAAGATGCTTGCTGGCGTCGTGAAATGCGAAAACCACGTTTCTGTGCAAATAAAACTAGGAGAATGCACATGGTGAACAGTAGAAAACTTGTGATAATTGCTAATTCAACACCGGTGAAAGTATTCGGTACTTTATAACTGGTAGGTACAGCTACAGTTATAACAGCTATGTCAGTGACAAGAGGATGGGCTGAAAGAGAAAAAAAAAAAAAAACACATTTAAAAAGAGCTTATCATGCTATGAATTTCCCTGCACATTAATTTTCAAATCATAAACAAATAAACAACTGACACAACTGTTAAATCCTGCAAAACAAGAAAAATTTCCATTGCACAACCTTTTTCTTCATGATGATCCATGGTAGTGGTGTTGTTATTGTATCTCTGTCCTCTGTTTGCGTTTGTGACTCTCGCACTATGTCAAATGGATTTTAACAAATGAGCACTTGGGAGACAGCCAACTGATCACTGGTATGTGCTGGCTTGTGACATGTTAAAGGCATGGATATGCTGAATTAAATTTTAGGAGCCATGGATTTATGCCTCATTTGACTCAGAAATGTACTGCATGTGTTAATTTCTGCAAAATCCCCAAACATTATATTAAGCCCCAGTATTACTCATTCACAATCAATTAAGTTAATAAAAATGCATAAATGTTCTGCCAAGAAATTTAAAGATATATGCTAAGAATATACAAACGGTGTAATTAATGAGTTTGTTTTGCAGATGGAAATGTGTTCTCAGTACTGTGATATTTTGAAATCATTGGTCGGCTGTTTTTTAGGTTACTACTGTATAAGCAATATAAAAAACATATGTTTATGGCAAATCTAGGGTTTTTGGGTACTACATGTATTTTGGTTGTAAAATGTAAACTATTGAGCTAAAATCAGGAGCTGCTCGAGGAAGCATACGCCCACCCCCCCCAAAAAAATACTTGCACCCCTAGACCCCCATTGAAAATGTACACATGCTGTCTCTTATACACATCTAGATGTGTATAAGAGACAGATATATATATATATATGTAAAATAGGTTCTCCTTGTGAAAAACAGAAAAAAAACCACCTGACCTTTATATCAACGCCCATAATCTGGACATCAACAAATCGATTAATAAAAGAATGCTTGTTTATATAAATTCACAGTGTCAATGGAGACTAGAGTATACTGTAGGCTAAAGGAGAACTAATATGTCCCTGTACATACTGAATACTCGCCCGACATACGTCTCAGTGCTCAATTCAGTGGTTTTTTCTGGCCCTCTCGTCATACTCCTTGCTTGAGTTGGTTCATTCCCAATTCTTGGCCCTGGTGAACAAGTTTAGGGTTACTTTTTACTCTAAAAAAGGTAATACTTACTTTAATATATTACATGGAAAGGGATGCTTTTTCTCTGCATTGCACAACATCTTTAGGCCCTTTTATTTGAAGCATAGTCACATACATGGCCACCCTGATTTAGATTGAGTGCCCCCACCCCAGGTCACTTATTCCCTTTCTGTAGTTTAAGGACTGAACCATGTAGGGCTAGAAAACAACTTGCGATAAAAAAATAAAGTAAAGAAACTTTAGATCTGCCCCTATAGGGCAGGTAAAACATGGAGGGCACGGTAAAACATCCCCCATTACCGTTTTGCCATTACTTTCAGACATTAAGTTCAGACTTTCACCAAAAATCATCAGATGGCATTATGCTGTCTAGCACTACATTATTACATATTCTTTAATGAATGACTATGAATGAATAATTATCTTGCCTTTTGGATGCCAGTTTCAGCTTTAATGGTATTTTGTATTGTTTTGTATCTTCATGTATTAAAAAAAAATTGGAGACAAATAAATAGAATGAAATAAGTAGGGCATTACTATTAATCCAAGCAATATTACCATAGGTTATTTGTGTTCTATATTGTCATATCTATGCATGTTGTATTATTTGTGAATTTCAAATAGTTACTGAATAAATGGATGAGTTATAATTACTCTCAGCATTATACCCTACTGTCTACTTCTGCCATTGAAATACATTATATTAATATGACCACGGTTACTACCATTATTATTGAATTAACATATTTTTTAATCTTTGGTAAATACTTACCTGAATAAATCGATATATACATGTTTCTTTTTTTTAACATACCTAGTTTTTGTGTATCTTGTGAATTTTTTACTTTGTACAGTACAAGTGCTTTTATAAACAGAAAATGCGCTAATGAAATTATTCAAATAATGTATAAAATGCAAGTATATCATTTCTATGTACTTGACAATATAAGTGCTAACAGTAGTAGCTGACCATTCAATAAAATCGGGTGACATTAAAGTCTTTTTCTTGCTAAATCAAAAGGGACATTACAAAATCTCTTTCTGTAATGATATACATCGATTATATGTATGCACGCATGACCATGAAATGGAATTACTTACGGCACCCAATCTCGTCAGTACTGTTAACACAATCAACAAATCCATCGCAACGTCGGAAGGACGGGATGCATGACTTGTCGCCGCACACGAACATTCCTGGTCGGCACGCAGGCTGAGGTTTAATGGTAACTACAGAGGGACGAGAGATTAAAATAACTCATCAGTGTTTGAGAAAATGGATGATAGAACCTACCATGAATTACTGCACTGCTAATAACTTGGGATCAGTTGCAGTCAAACTCAATTGCACGATGGAATTGAATATTGTATCCTTGTTATTGAGGAAGTGACTGTACACATGTATGCAATGCATTATAAAAAATCTGTGTTACATTCTGATGGTAAAATGAAGATAAACCTTGACTTAAGAATGTACAAAACATTAAAATCATATTAAAACTACGCACTCTAATTGGACTGCTCCTTCCTTTAAATAAGAAGAGCAACATAAGGCGTAAATTATGAATAGAAATAAATTTAAAAAATTATAAACCACATGAAAGTAAAATTATAGTTTTTTTAGAATCATATGGGTAAAATTGGATATGTAAAAATATAAAATGAGTGAATTGCAACCAACAGATGCACAGATGTTTAAATAACATAGGATGAACATTACTCTTTGGAGTAACATTCATTCTATGTCAATGTATGACAAAAATAATAATAATAATAACGATGAATATAATTACATAAAACAATGATTATTATTACCATCATTATTATTGTAATAATAATAATGATTATGAAATGATGAAGATGATGACGATTCATTCATTCATTCATTAAATTCATTTTATTTTATTTCACACAATACAAAAATACATTATAAAATTCTTCTGAAAAGTAAATAAATAACAAGGACAATGTAATATAATTATGAAAGTTATAATAGCAAATTGATAATAAAAAAAAATTACAAAAAATAGCAATAGATGAAGAAAACGAAAACAATAATTTTATCATTATTAGTATTTATCACAGTAAGAAATAGCAAGAAGTTTTGGGAAGAGTAGATTTTATAATTTAAAGTAAAATGTTCGGCCACATTCAAAAAACTGTTTAAAGAGTTTTAAAAACAGACTAGACATACTCTAGCAGGAGTATAGTGATAAACAATGACCATTGTCAGAACAGGAAAACAGCAAATTTTTAACCTAACAACTAGGATTCAAAATGTCAACGAATGTCAAGAACCTGGCAACCACGCAGAGGATAAATAAAAATAGGCATCGTAAATCAGACTATAACCAACTCTTAACACAATGCGTCACAAATGTCAGACTATCTCGATATCTGATTGATATCTGATTCATAAGAATAAGACCGCTTAATGTCTATACAGCAAAATTCTCCCTTTAATTGAAATGGAATTGGGTATCGGTCTGAATCACTTAGCCATGCACACAACATTTTCAATTATTAATAGAATTATATGCTGCGCTGTTTCTTGGCACCAAATCCTTTACATCCTTAAAAAAAAAAAAAATTAAAACTATATCCAGTAGTTCAGGAAATTCTAACATTCGATTCAGATTATTATAGGGAGATGCAGAAACTGCATGCTGAGATGGAATTAGTTAAATCAGACTTAGCTGTAGCTGCAACTCATCGTGGTAGACTTGCTGAGCAGGTAAGGATAATGGTTTCTGGCTCTAACCATCAGAAGCAACATATGGATAAACCACATGCTTATCAGATGAAATCTAGTCAGCCAGCATAAACCACATGCTTATCAGCAGACTAGACATACTCTAGCAGGAGTATAGTGATAAACAATGACCATTGTCAGAACAGGAAAACAGCAAATTTTTAACCTAACAACTAGGATTCAAAATGTCAACGAATGTCAAGAACCTGGCAACCACGCAGAGGATAAATAAAAATAGGCATCGTAAATCAGACTATAACCAACTCTTAACACAATGCGTCACAAATGTCAGACTATCTCGATATCTGATTGATATCTGATTCATAAGAATAAGACCGCTTAATGTCTATACAGCAAAATTCTCCCTTTAATTGAAATGGAATTGGGTATCGGTCTGAATCACTTAGCCATGCACACAACATTTTCAATTATTAATAGAATTATATGCTGCGCTGTTTCTTGGCACCAAATCGTTTACATCCTTAAAAAAAAAAAAAATTAAAACTATATCCAGTAGTTCAGGAAATTCTAACATTCGATTCAAATTATTATAAGACCCTATATTGAATTTGTTCATACAACATCTATTCATTTAAATTATTCCATTGTCTTGAAGCTCTGAATTTGAATGTTCTTTTACCTTGAATATTTTTCTAATTATAGTAGGTGTTATATTAATGTTTTAATACTTTGGCTACGGGTGCATTTGGCTACCCTTAAAAACAATTCTACACAGGGAGCAATGCCAACAAAGCTAATGAAAGAAGATGAAAACAATTTGCCTAATTTCACCCTTTAACTCTTTTATTCTACCAAATCTCCCTAACCTTATCCTTATTTACGTTACTTCACAATATCTGTTTGCCCTACATTTAACATTTTTTTCTGCACTCTACTAATCTGGACACTTTTGTCTACAGTAGTTTCATTAGCCAGTTGTTTAAAAATGAAAAGCTTCTACTACTAGCAAACACAGATAATTAAAAGATATATCAACATACGTTATACTTATTAATTAATTAGTGTCTGTTGAAAGGGCTGTTTTCCCACAGCAATTACTGTAAATAAACATTTGCCTGTTAGCAATGTTTGGTATGGGCAAACACTTACATCAGTGAAATATAAACATGATAGTGAATTTGATATGGACTTGGCAATACAATGTCACTTTCTTGGTTGCAACAAAATTTATGATTAACCCCCTTCTGGGATGAGACTGGTTTCATCCTATGGGGAGGGGGGAGCGCGAAATTTTAGAATGCAGAACTAGGTGTGCGAAAATTGAGAAAGCAGTACTAAATTTCTATTCCAATGAAAACTCTGGTTATTTTCAGTATTTTAACCATCTTAGTGGAACTAATTTGCTGTAATGCGGGTTCCTCCCAAGCCTATGTCCATGCCCTTATTAATCTCTAGAAAGAAACTAAACTAATAATATATACATGTTTAGCTGGTAAGTTATTTGAAAACAAATGGTTCCAAGATGAGATGAGCGCAATTTAATTCCACAATTCTAATTAACAATTATCCAGTGACAGTTCACACACTGAAATCTTAAATGAAATGTTAAATAGGCCTGTGTACTGTAGATCAAAAGATCAGTTCATATCAATCAAGTATGGAAGGATTGCACTGTAATGCTACAAATTTCACAAAGGCTACAGGTATTATCATTTCTTATGTATTTTAAACAAGTTTATTGTCTTCATAACAAAACTCCATTGCAAAATGCAACTGCGTGCTCCAAAATCATTCTAACATCAGTAGTAGGCTGCTATATTTATCATCACTAATGAAGTCATATTTTGCTTAAAAATTTATGGGCATTTTATTACACAAACACGAAGAAGCCATCTGCAAACATTATATTTATTTGGCAATGATGGAGAACTTCTCTTTTGTAAGTAATGCACAGACCACAGCCTTAACATGGCCAAGAGCAAACATCCCCTTTTCGGTAATTAAGTAGATATTTTTGAGTCGGTCGTACTATTTTAGATCCTGTTTTCGAAATTTATTGATAATTACCCGGATAATAGAAGTTGGTTTTTTAAAAAACATCAGTTATTCTCTTACAATATCTGAACACAAATCAAAACAAGAACTTTTTTTTCCTGATTTACAAACATTTTACTAAGAAATGTTCAAACAGATTACCAGCCAATTTATGGGACTATACAAATAATATAGGCACAGTATAATATAATGTACATTCTTTTATTATTTTTATTTTGATTATTGTTTTTGTTTGGTTGTGTGCAAGGTAGCTTTATGCAAGATGCCAGAGGCGTCAAATGCCAGATTTTATAGAGAGTTAGCAATAGTACTCAGGTCATTTTTTATAGACTTGTAGCTATTTCTTTAATCAAAGATCAGGATTCAACCTAAATTACATTTCTAGCTGTATCCAATATTGGAAGCCTGATTAAAGACAGGTGGTGTATAGTATCTCTGAAATCAATAAGAACTCTATGACAAAGAATTAATTTAAATCCTTGCCGGTAATATAATTTTAGATTCTTCCTTGAGTACAGCATAATAAATGGTATTTAGTACCGTAATTTTCCAGGTTTTGTAATGTTCTCTGTGATAATGATGATAAGCTGAACAATTTAATATTGTTATCATCTCTGCAACAATCAGATCTAATTGGCTGAAAGTGAAATGGGAACATAGCTTTATAATTAAGGTGCTTGCCTTCTAAATTTAGGATTCTGAGTTCAAATCCTTAAGTCACAATTTTTTTTAAATATCTGAAGATAAAGAGACTTAGGAAGTGATGGCTGTTTTCCCATTTTTGGGGTTAGACATAGTTACTATGGTTTATGTATATTGTAATACTCATAGGCCTATTTTTATAAATTATATACAACCTTTGTGATTTTTAAAATCTTGTTGAAAAAGTTTCTGTCAACCTTTTAATTGCAAAGAAAAAAATAAATAAAACAAACAAATAAGAAAGAATGAGTAAATAACAAAATTCATTATTATTACCAAACCACTAATACCTACCACAGTTCACCTCGTCACTTCCATCTTTACAATCCTTATTCCCATCACAACGATTGCGTGCAAACGTACACCCTCCAGAATGGCAGGGAATTTCCCATGATCCGCACGTTCGTGTGTGTTGCGCTGAAAACAGGAAAATACCAACCACCAAGTAAGTATTCATTATCAAATATTTGATAAGTCTTATTAGTTAGCATTAAAAAACCATTATGAATAAAAAAAAAAATATATTTTAAGATACCTCATAAGGGTTTTATTCAATAATACAATAAGACAATGATTAAATTCAGAGTCAATCATATGATTCAGGGGCGTACGGTGAAAAATCTAAGGGGGGTCGAAACGAAAGCGCAGGGGGCAATCTGAACTCAGAGCAATTTAGCGAAGCTTTCAGAATTCGCGGGGTGCGTTATTTGTGAGTGAAGCGAGCAACTAGGCTGGGGCTAGGGGGCCGCAAAAGGGGAAAATTTACGTTTTTACGTTCTAGTGCATTAAGTTCAATACCAAGTCAAAAATAGGCCTAATTGAAAACGTAGTTTTTGGGCAACACCAGACTATATTCACTCAATATATCACCAGCCTATTGGATTGCGGAACTCCTGAATATGGGCCTGTGAGCATTTCAGATTAAAGAATTTAAAAAAAAAAGGGTTTTTTTTCTTTTTCGTGGGATCGTCCCACTTTTAATTTTTTTAAAAATAAAGTTATAAATGAATATACTGTATTGAAAAATAAACAATGATATAGGAACATATAATTACTTAAAGCAACATTTTGTATGCGTTTATTTCTTAACGTTTTCCTTTCAATTTTATATTTTAATATACCATATTTTTTTAACTTAGTTTTTCTTCATCGTTTTCCTTTCAATTTTATATTTTAATATATTTCTTTAACTTAGTTTTTCTTCATCGTTTTTCTCAATAACTAATACTTAAACTACGCTTTCAATACTAAAGGTAATTTAACTTACCTAATATTTACATAAAAAAATAAATATTTTTGGCTGTTACATTATTGGCTGTTACATTATTTTTGGCTGTTACATTTTGTATGCGTTTATTTCTTAACGTTTTCCTTTCAATTTTATATTTTAATATACCATATTTTTTTAACTTAGTTTTTCTTCATCGTTTTCCTTTCAATTTTATATTTTAATATATTTCTTTAACTTAGTTTTTCTTCATCGTTTTTCTCAATAACTAATACTTAAACTACGCTTTCAATACTAAAGGTAATTTAACTTACCTAATATTTACATAAAAAAATAAATATTTTTGGCTGTTACATTATTCATAGTTTTTATCTGCGTTACCTATTTAATATGAATAATGTTGTATTATCAGATCATTCCACATAAATTAAAATTGTACGAATCCCTATATTACAATTATTTTTATCACCATAATTATATATTATGCGCTTGCTTACTCTCTAGTATACGAACATCACAATTACATTCGATAAAATGTATATGACGATTAAAAGAAGACAGATTGCATGTTATATGTTATCTTATTTAGCTTTTTTAGCTAGTTATGTAATGTCTGAACTGCAGCAGTGGTAAGATGTTTTATGATTTACAAAGAAAGCCTCATGAACAATAGACAATTAGGAAATTGGGTTTAGGATCAGGTTTTGATCAGTTTCATACAATTCATCATGGTAAAACATAATATTACTTAGAAATGGCTAAAATGATATAAAACATCAGTAGTATACATTGGTATGAAAAATCTTGTATTTCTTGCTGCCATCATTTTCCTTGGATGGAATAAGCATAGTTAGGTCTAAAAAAAACAATTGTTTGTATGCACTTTAATGCCAAAAATTGTATAGGAGGGGCAGGCGCAAAAAAATTTCTGTCACCAAAATTAACATATTAAATTGTAATGCTTGCAATTAAGCCTGTCTCACTATTTGTTTTTCAAAGGGTATTCATCAGACTGAATGAAAATAACCCATAATCAATATTTTGCAGCCTGGAATGACAATACCTTAATTCAAACACCAAATTTAGACAACTTTCATTTGCAAATTGGAGCAAAATAGAGATCACTTTTAAAAATTTGTGAACAAAAAAATCTAAAAAAAAAAAAAATAACACAAACTAAGGGGCGGGCGCTGGAGGGCAAACAGACAATTTTTTTTTTGCCTCATAATGTAGATACAGTTACTGTATGTACTACTAAAAACAATAATGATATTATGAATTTATAGTATGTATTACAGTACTTTATTATGAATTTATAGTATGTATTACTTTAATTTAAATAATGATTCCAAGAATAAAAACTCAAAATACATAAAATATATTATACTTTAGCAATGGATGCTGCCTGAAAATTCATTCTGTAAGGTCACAAAATTGACTCTGCTTTAAAATAAATTAATTCCATTTAATCAAGAGACCTTCGTATGTTATTTATCTTGTATTAGAGCCTAATGCAAATGGACGGAAGTGTAATTACAACAGGGCTCATTCACAAACTGGAGTATTAAACTGAGATGCAAAATTCAAAAATGCAATTTGGTTCAACTGCTCTTTACTCATCAAATATTGATGTGTATTCTCTATCCTCGAAAAACAATTGATAAACCTTCTGTAATATGAAGTTATCATAAATTATGTATTATACATATTATCAATGTTATATACCATATTACATAATATACGTACCTATGAATGATACGCAAAATACATAATATATATTTATTGTATGTTACACTACAATTTGAAGTCTAAGAAATGAAAATGTTCTAAATCCTTAATTAATACATTGTAAAAAGTGTCATTGTTTCGCCTCTCCTATATTTCAGCATTGAATTCCCATTTCCAGTCTAAAAAGTGATTAATATTTAATCCTACATTTTTATTTTATATATTTAACTTATATTCATTTTTCTGCTTTCATTTTATTTCAGTTCTAGGCTATTTTATCATTGTTTTTAATTTACTTTTTAGTTAATTGTGAATTTCCCATTTATAAACTTTTTTTTTGTATATCTTTTTTATATTTACTGTATGGAAAGCAGTGCTGCGAGTCACTAAATGGTTACACCCTGTTTAAAGAAAGCTTAAATAAATAAATAAACAATTTTAAAAATATAAATTATATATTTGAAATATAAATTGTCTATCCATGTAAACTACTTTATAATTTATATTATCTATTTCAGTGATAATATTGCATCATCAAAATCTAGGTTAACATAATTTCTTTTTATTGATAGCTAAATAATATATATTAATATATCATTAACCATTACATTATAGTACATATTATATCATTATAGAGAATACATTTTTACAAAGTTCCGTCGAATTTGTATTCATCTCGTGTCTTCAAAATGTAGGCTAATGTGTCATTTAGACTACAGCTTGATGAGCTATTCAATCCCATAATCAAAACAATAACTTCACTGCCAATGGTCCATTCAGGTTAATTTCAAAATGTTGACATCAAGGACATATATATCATAAATTTTAAATGAGTTTATATGTGATCACTTCATTTCATTAATTCAGTTGGCTCCAAGATTCATTAAACAATATTTTATAACAAAACAATTAAAACAACAAAGGGATCAGGTCCTGACAATAATTCTAAACAAAAAATGCTATTATTAAAGGCAGAATAATTTTATTTAAAAAAAAAAATTTATAAAAAAAAAACACAAAGAACAAATTATTATTTGAAAAACGAGCATTGAGATTCATCCCACAAATCCTGAATTACTAAAAAACCTATAACCCAATAATTGTGTTTCTATTTTTTTTATTCAATCATAAAAAATACAATTTAAAAGTTATATTAAGTGGTCTTCTAAAGTTGGTATGAAATAAATATAACTTTCAGTGTAGATCTTGGTCTTATACACATCTAGATGTGTATAAGAGACAGGGCCACAAGTTGACAACTCGTAGTCAACTTGGAAAACTCAGATAATTCTTAGGAGTACTTCAGACACTCCTATATCACTACAAGTTTGCAGTGTGTACTAACATTTTTGTTTGAAATTTAACACGTTTAATGAAAATACAATATATAATATACATATAAAAAAGTATATAACTAAAATACAAAATATCTATACTTTCACTAGGCAAAAAACTGTGAATGCAGGCTACCTGAAATGTTTACTCAAACATGTAGAAATGCCAGTGAATTTATTAACAACTAAACGCTAACAGCGTTCTATAGTGACGCTATTAAATGAATGATAGCGTAGGTCTATGGCCCATGGGGATTTCTCCTCACAGGTTTTGAAATGACGACATCTGTGAACTGCTCTTGACTAAATGCAGTGTAAAAACCAATAGAATTTCTGCAGTTTTGGTTCATGATCTTTGCTGAGAGTATATTATCTATTTGGATTGGATTTATTCGGTGTAAACACCAAGGATAGCCCACAAAAGTCTTAATTTCTGGAAAAGAAATTTGTTTTGCAGATTTCTGGTTTAGCTAGAGCCATCAATCATTTTTATTTCTTTTTTTTGTTTTGAAATTGTAAAGGAATCATTCATTTATGGTCTCTTTTAATCCATATCTTTATTATACACATCATCCTTTCTTATGTTTATACTTTGTGCACTTTTTATTGTGATTTTCCTGGCTGGTTGATTCTTCGCTGTAATTTCTTTATTGATTTTCTTGAGGTAAACTTCTATGCAATTCTCTATTTTTTAATTTTGTGTGCATTATATTGGTCTTTCTGGGTGTTTGATTGATTGTTGGAATTTTATTGTATTTTATAATGTTAACATCAATGTAATAAGTATTTTTACTGCAATTTCGATGAATGAAAATACTTGAATACTTGAAACTTATCACCTTTTCATTTATCATGTTAAACACATTAATAAAACATAAACATTCTGTTTACTAGTCGGTGATTGGTTGCAATGTTGCAAAATATTCATTTCAAATGTTACAATACTTTCCCTTTTTTTTATTTCCAATTATAAATATTTGAAAATTGGAATTTTAGAAAGGCTCCTGGTGACTGACAACAGCCGCAGTATTAAATGTAATGAATATATTGTTGTAATTCTAATTCAAGGATTATACGAAAATTTGAGTGATCAGACTCCCAATTAGAAACTTGACGCTGCATGGCCGGGTTGCAACAGAGATCCTCACGCAAGAAGGAACATTACAGTACACCTTGGCCAAATGCTCAGCTCAAATACAAGAGACATATAAACTCCAAATGTTTAAATAGCAAAATTCCAAACATATCACACAATGTTAATATTCTGGTGGCAGCACACAATAAAAAGTTTAGTCTTGCATGAACGTTTCCCGAAATCACGAAGAAGTCTACAGAATTCAAATGTTAACTATGAAATATTTTGTACACTAAAAATCTATGTCTAAAATCAACGTAATCACTGGTGCATTTTGATGTGCGATGCCAACATAGGGATTGCAAGATCACATGATTTTTTTGGGTTCAGGAGAGTAAAGGTTTGCATTTGCATAATTAGTAACTCAAGTTGAGTCTTAGTAGAACCATAATTTGTTCACAATCTTTCATATTTCTTTTTATTAGTGCATAATGATTATTGCTATGAAAACAGCCAGCATTTTTAATACCAAAGGAAAGCAGATTTATCAACATTTTACATTATTTCCTTGAAAAAGAATACCACTGGGAATATTATGCTACTAAACTTCAACATTCAAACTCATTTGGGCAAATTTACATGTAAAAACAAGTTCTGAATAATTTATTTCATTCAGATCCAACAACTATTGGATTTTATCAGTTATATTAAAGGGAACTCGCTGTTGTCTTTTGAGCTCCGTAGTGTTATTTGTAAGGCCCAGGGTGTCTATAATTCTGAGGAAGTTCAAAGGAAAGTAGTCTTTAGGAAATGGCAAAGGGAATGAAGTATGTCTGCTGGGTTATTTTTAGTCTCATTATCGAATGCAAGGAGTCAATATGCTTTTGAGAAAATCTTAAAGACGTCGTTATATAAAAGGCAAATGGAATGCAGTCTGTTGTCTACTGAGGCTATTGTATATTTTTAATAATCTTTAACGACGGTGAAATCCAATGAGTGCTGCTTTTTTGTGCTGCATACCCGCCACCGCCCTCCAATATTGATGACAATTTTATTTTTGGCCAATTGGAAATTTCAGAAAGAAATATAAGTTTTTATTTATTTTTATTGAAATCTCCAAATATAAGGTATGTATTATAGTTCTTCCTAACTATATAAATTTAAAGCATTTAACCATCCCATTACTACGCCGTTTACATTCAACAATAACATTTTATTTTTATTTTCTCCTCCATCTCGATGTTGTTGGCAAATTGCTGAATAAGAAAACAAAATAATTTAACTTTTATTTCTTTTCTGCCCTTCTCTGACAACCTTTAAAAAAATTCAGTTCTCAAAACCAGGGTATAAAAAAAGTCTCACAATTAAGACGTATTTTGGGTCAGAGAGTAGCAAATTTTTTCGGGTACTGAAAAAAAATCCGGACAGAATTTGATTCTAGGACCCAAGGTTTAGAAAGCAAGCAATTTAAGATTCTATGTATCTCCACCCTGAATGTTACTCTCAAGGTGGTCAGGAAGTCTTTAGAATATCTTTAGAAAACGCCAAAAAAAGACTATTTCATTGAACGGCAAGCTACTATAACACAGAAAAGCCACAATTACAGCAATTCTCCTAAACGAGCTATATAAATGATCTAAGTGCCACATCTGTGTAAACAATCAAGTTTTGGCTAGGCTTGTCAAACAGACAGGAAAATCGAATACTACTAACCCTCCTGCTAGCGGCGGATTGATCGGCGCAATACACATCGTAGATCAATATCATGCTTAGCTTAGTTTGCAATACAACTACAATTACTCCATCAAAAGAACATGCAAAAATAGTCAATAAAAATGTTGTTTTTCATGATGATGTATGAGTCAATATTGTGTTCAATAATACATAATGTACATATTTTATGAAGGACAGGAATACATTTAAAATACCATAATTGTATGCTTTACAGTAATACAATATGGTAACACTAATGAGCACACAGATAAAAGTTTTTTTTAAATGAAGGTTAAATATGAGAAATACTTTTAGTACTTACTACAGTAATTAATATGTATTTGCAGTCAAGTCAATATAAAACTGGACATAAAAATGAACCAATAGGCTGTATGAGACCTTGGCATTTTAAATAGATTGCACTACATAACCTTTACTTTATTAATAATTTAACTTTGATCTAATACAAAATTGAAAACCAGAGCCTTGCAGGCGTCAACGTTCCTATGCACGATACATGACTTAACTAAACATATTTTCTGATTAAGTCATCATAAATGACATAATCAGAAAATATGGTTGGGTCAAATTTGTGAGGTGGTTGAAAAATTCAGGGGGAGAATTTATGGCCCAAAATAGTGATTTTAGACCACATTGGTAATGTAATTTGATAGGCAAATTACAGTAATATTTTTAGCAAATTTCTTTGAAAAAATTTCATAGGCCTGGGCCTAGCTAGGTATACAGTATTTTCTGTGGGGGAGCTGGCAGTGGCTTACAATTTATTTGAAAATAGCTTGGGCCTGATCGTCTGTCACCTGAAGTTTTTTCATCACGATAATCAAGAACGTACACGATCTACGCCCTAGGATAGGCCTGCCTTCTTCAAAATGCCTATGCCTACAGCAGTTAATTTTTTTTGCCGCAAAATTAAAATAGTTTTATCCATACTGACTTGCCGATCAGTTAGCATGAGCCCTGACTGAATACTGCAGCAACTTCGCATCGAACTTCGCATTGCGAGGAAAAACAAAATGACGGAAAACTTTTTTACGCATGCGCATTTGCATAAATGTCTACACACACACACGCCCACACACACTACACACAGGGAAAACAGTGAAAAGTAATTACAACAGCTGCTATTGCATTACATGCATAGGAACTAAAAAAATGGTTACAAAGAACTTCTTGTAAATTTTATTGTTTTGAGACAAATCAAGGAAATGAAATTATGTAACAAAAAATATACATGTTCCAACATTTTCGCACGCTGGGTTTTGGAAGCACCTTCGAAAGTGAAATTTTTGACCGACAGTTAATTTTCTTTTACTTGAAACGAAAAAGGCTGGCCATCAATTTTGTTTGGTTTAATACAAAAGAAAACAGATGAAACCTTAAGAATTATTATGTATGAATAACTTTTTTTTAATTCAAGAAAAATAATACTGATGATTCCAACATCATTTATATTATTTTTTTTCCGATGCAAAAAACACAATCGCATCGCATTGCAGTACCCACTGCTACTTGGGAATCAGATTCCTTACTAGCCACTAATCGCAAGCTCGGTGATCTAGTGGTTAAGACACCAAGCTAGTTATCTGGAGGTCGTAGATTCATTTTCTACACAAATCACTTGCAAGATTTTTTTCGCAAGTATTTAGGAACGTACTGAGTACAATAACATTCAGGTAGGGCAAAAACATCATTCGTATATATAATTTGTTAGTATTAACGCAACTATCTTCTTACACATTTTTTGACAGATCTAACTCACCTGGAACTTCGCAGTTACTGCCCATCCAATGGATGTTACATATACACAAGTACTGTACATAAATATTATAACACCATCCACCATTCTGGCATGGGCTACTGGTACATGGGTTCCCCTCTGAAATAAAATCATAAATTCAATAACAATTTTAATGCCCTAATACATGATCATACTCAAGACTATTAAATTTAAGTATATATTTATTATGAGAATAATGAAATAGAAATTATTTATGTACATTTCAACAGGTGAGGAATATATTTTGTTGTAGTTTTAAAATAAAAACTAATAACTTAAAGTAAGCAGTTGAATATTGGAATTTTATTTATTATATTGTTAGGTTGATTAATGCAAGATATAATACCATTTACAGAATTAGATTGAACAAGCAAGCGTCCTCATTCATGGTCCATTAGTCAATTATTTTCAATATAATAATCGAAAGAAAATTATATTTACCGACACAACATTGAATTATATCTATACAGACAATTCGTAAATCAGATTTCTCGATTCCATCACAAATTGTAAATTCTGTGATAATGTGATTATACGTTTGTCTGTTCGATTACCAAGAATTTGGCTTCAATGCAGCTGGTTTGAAGTATCAACTTTCAAATGTGATTTAGTTTTAAAGCTACAGTAAAAGTTTATCAAAAGTGAATTAATTATAAAATTGCCAATGACACTCTCAGAATCATCATTTTTTTTTTAAAGCAACCAAAAATTTAATACAGGTACATCAAGTTGCTGAGAAGTGGATGAGAAAGCCTTTGCCAAATTAAGGTCAATATATGTTTTCTGACCAAATGTAAAATAAAAAGAAAAGATCACTTGTACAACCCTTGGCAGCACCAGCAAATATAATGTAAGGAATTTTTTAGAATGTATTACGGCCAAAAATATATTGGTTCAATTTGCCATTGTTGATGAGGAAGGATTTGGCAGAGTAGGGGATTCAGAAAACTACATCCCACAACATGGATTGTTTAAAATGGCAAATATTAATGAGTATTAGAATAATGATAACGACAATGATGATGATTTAACATTCTAGATAATGATAATGAAGCTATAATGATAATAATATCTAAAATTATCGTGTATTCATATGAATACCTTTTTATTATATATTTAGGTCACCTAGTTACAGTAGATTATGTGCAGAGGTAAGAAATAAAGACTCAATGATTTTGAAGGATCATGGACACCAGTTTTTGGACTATAGTTTTGGCATTATCTCTATTTCTATTTTATTTCTATTTCTATTGTAAATGTGGTTCTGTAAGGACCAACTGGGTAACACATTCCCTCCTCTGCCCCTGCTATCTCTCATAGCTTGAATCAAGGGTAAGTCAACAGTGGATAAATGAAAGCCATCATAATTATCTAGACAAATATTACCTCAACTTTTGACATTGAGATGTCAGTTCCAAGCTCAAGTTTATTATTTCACACAACAATATACATGACGTTAATTGCTCAGTCATAAAAAATATGTACATTTGTTTGCTTTTGCCAAACACGCTACAAATAACAATGCACTATAGAACAGATCTGAACAAAACTGTAAAAACATATTTTTAAAAAAAACATGGAAAAAACAAAATTTTTATGCATGGGCAAAATATATATGGTACAAAGACTACATATTTTTAGTAACTCTTTGTAGGATAATTAACATAACTGAAAACATTTCCTGGAAGTATAATATAAAAAGATTAGTGCTACCTTCAATTTCATTTTAATGTATTATTTAAGCATTTCAATATTACAACTTAATCTGCTATCACTTACGTCAAAAACCTAAAATTAAATTGCTGCTATTATTACATAAAATTATATATAAGTGTAAATAATTACTACTGAAAAAAATGAAAAATTGATGAGCTGAGTCAGTGTTGAATTCAATAAATACTGTTTAAGTTTATCCTTGTACTGTAAGCTATAGATTGTTTAGAGACACTAATACATTATTCAGCACGTTATTAAATTCAAAAGGAATCCAGAATAAAGGCATACAATCAATTGAGATGCAAATATCATTTTCAATGCTCTCTAAATATATATATATATATTTAGTAACAAAGAATACCATATGTTTAATGAAATTGAGAATATTGAATCTCCATAATTATTCATGTATTTATTGTCATGTTATTAAATCCAAACAACATAGAAAAAGATTATTGCTCTTTCAAAATTGATTAGTAAAAAATTCCTAATCTTTAGAAAGCTATATTATCTCATTGTATTGCATAATCACCTGGAGGGGACTTAAATTCTCCCAGAAATCAAGAAATCTCATACTGTATATTCTCAAATGGTTTTATCTTAGAATTAAATATAGTATAATTTTAATATTATAATGTAATAAATATAATGCAATAACACATGATTAGTATTCATATTGTACTTGTTGCTGGCCTATTATATTACCTTCAATGAGTACAATCTGAATGGTATTTTATGAGAGGTCAAAGGAGAAGGGAGGTGTGACAAGAATCAAACAACTCTTAACTATAATTATTTGTTGTAATGAAATATAACACTGATTAAATTAGTTAGAACACTTTCTTTAATCTGGATACTCAATTAGTGTAATTAAAAACACCTCTTTATTGAGGTCAGTTAGGAAACAACTTAATAATAAAATTTAAAGAAAAACACAAAAGTCATGATTGTATAGTAGTACTGTAACAGTAGAGGAAATTAATTTAGAATGGGTAACAGGTTACTTTATATCCTTTACTGCCACAATTTTAAAAAACACATTTTGAAAAAGTCCCTACTGTTGTAAAACTCTGCATCTGACCATAAATACTTGTAATGGTGCATTTAAATAAATGGCATCAAAAATGACAAAGAAACCAGAAAGTGCAAATTACAATACCTATGTTGCTATAGTATCTGTTTTGAAAACCTTGCAGGTTATTCAAGTAATATAACTCTACAACACGCAGCTTGCGACCAGTTACCGTAATCAACGCTAGACTCCCTGCCTCAATCTTAACTGCATTTCAATGTCAACAACCTTTTTCTAATTAATGTTATCTGGTATCCATGGCAACTCACTGGATAACAGCGATATTTTTGTTACGGTATATATTTTTAAACATACAGGCATGTGAGTGAGAAAATTTGATTTCCACTGAAACCCCGGCGCCAGGGAACTAAAGTGACCGAGTTGGGGTGGGTACGGGAGGGAGAATCCTGCTAGAAATTTTTGTAATTCTGAGGTTGAAAAGACTACATTTTAAGGTATTTCAACTGTTAAAATGACTTCTTTGTATTACTGTGTAACTATTAGCATTTTAATTAAACACAACAGCAAGGAAAGAAATGAATCCAAAAATGATGATGTGCTCTTTGATGTTTTTCAAACCTTTCGCCATACTTGATCTCTATTTTACACAAAGAACAGTATGCAACACCAGCCATTTCACATGAAGTATCATCATCTACCATCTTACTGTAAGATCTAACCACAGCATCCATTTGTTTTTTACAGCCTTTTCAATAGTCTGAAGACTTACTACTATACCTCTCTGATTTATATCACTGTGGCAAGCCATATCACGGCTTATAGAAATAGCCTCTACAACGTTGAAACTGAAAAGTCGTCTTTGCATGGCCAGTTCAAGTGTGCCAATGCAAAAGAAAAAACCAAGTACAGTCATGTAGGCCTACCAGTGTGCTGTACGCCAAACTTGTTACATCAAACGATGTACACCGACTAGTTACACCAAAAGATGTACGCCAACTACGTGTACATCAAAGATGTATGCCTACTTCTAGTGAATGTGCTATTTCGGACTGCTTGCGCCAGTGAACATCAGGACCGACTGCCATCGCCGGCACATTTACGGACAATACTTTTGTAATTTTGTTTGATTTCTTGTGGACGAAGTACCTGACCCCCCCCCCCTATAATTTTCTCCCCGGATTTGGAATTGTATTAAAAATAGCCCATAAGTTTAACAAAAAAACGGAATTCCATGAATCCATGGAATTCTCACATGCCTGAACATAGTATGACTATTTTGAATACGCCACACTCCTTTCTAATGTATGACTTTTGATGACAAGTGAGAGATAGGTTCAGGCACGAAAAATAAGAACCATGTCCATGCCTACCGATGCATTGGCTCCTGGAAAATGGACAAAAGATGGTCGGTGGTTTTTCCAGATTGTGTTATTGCTTTACATCATCATTTTTTATATGTTGTATTATAGTACCTTAACAAGCAATAACAAAATGTACATGAGGTGAACCTCACATACTAATTACTAAATTGATTGTAGCGTTCCATAAATCAATGTCAATTTCTGGCACAAAATTAATAAGAACTAATCAATAAATAGCTGTGACATGCTAATAGTTAACAATTACCAATGGATTTATGCAGTGACAGAAATTCCAGAGGGGTTTAGGGATTACTTCCTGATTATTAAAATAATAGATATTCAAAATTCAAGGGTATCAAAAGGCTTTAACCCCCAGACCCCCAACCGGGCCTGGCCTCCACCGCATTCAGTTAATTCAAGCACTTAATCCCCCTTTAAAATACTGTACTGTCATTTGCAAATCCAAATGAGTGTGTAACAATGTAAGAGCAGTGGATATATTGTCTTTTGTTTTTTGTTTTTTTTTGGGAGGCCCACAAATAAAAAAAATTAACCATCTAAAGCTTGGTTTCCATACAATTGCTACACGCTATTGAAGACAGCTTCCGGTGATGCTGATTGGTCGGTGGAATCAGGGAGCCTTCCTGATTTTGTTGGGCACTCCTACGCAGTACAATTGCTCTAAAAACACTGTAGGAACAGTGTAGCGATTTTAATGAAACCAGGGTTAGTTGGACTGTAAGATTCCTGGTACATCTTATGAATGGCTGTCAGTAATGCATATAAATGTATTTGTATATATTTTTACAAAATAAAGAACATAAAGCTCTTTCCACACTATTGAACATTATGTGATAAAAAAATGTGATATGCCCATATTTGGGTGGAATATGACATCATACATCCCATACATGGGCACATTACATGTCCCATATATGGGCACATACATCCCATATATGAGCACATTACATGTCCCATATATGCGCACA